GCCCTTTGTCAAAGATCAGCTGACCATAGGTCGATGAATCTATTTCTGGGTTCTCAATTCTGTTCCATTTGTCTATGTGTCTATCATTATACCAATACCAGGCAGTTTTGACTACTGAGGCTGTATGATAGGTTTTGCCACATGGACTTTTATATTTGCAAAATAAATCTATAAACAAGATTAATTTTTTTTTTTAATTTTGATTTGGGTGAAGATTTACAGAGCAAATTCACTTTCCATACAGCAGTTCACATATGACTTTGTCACATGTCATTGACAAAGATTAATTTTAATATAAGAAAAATATGAGAACCTTTACATTCCAAGTAAGTATATCCCTTTAAAGTAGACCCCAAGATCCCATTTCAAGTGATAGGAGAAGGCACATACTCTCTCCTTGTACCACTTTCAAAAAATAAAACCAAACTACTTGTTGTTCAGTGGATTCAAACTTATGACAACCCCATGTTTCATGCAGAATTGTTCCATAGGATTTTCATGGCTGTGACCACTCAAAAACACATTGCCAGGCTTTTCTTCCGAGGCACTTCTAAGTGGGTTTGAACTGCCAGTCTTTCAGTTAGTAGTCAAGCACTTAACCATTTGTGCCACAAACTGCTGGATTTATTAAGCCAAGGACACAGAATTAAATAGTGACTATGAGGTTTCCCCTCGGAAGGAAGGTTGGGCAAGCCTACTTCCGTAGTGATACTGCCTCGGAAACCCAAGGAGGGGTCGCTATGAGTCGGGGTCGACTCGACGGCACAAAACAACAACAACAACAACAACAACATGAGGTTTCCCATAGCATGACCAGATATACCATAACTTGTTACAGCTTCTCCCTGATGTACAGATTCTCTAACAGGTACAGAGGAGTGGGCAGCCCTCTCCATACAGGCAGAGTCCTATCAGAGTCTATTAAACAGTCACATTCTTGATCTGCCTTTATATTCTTATATTTTAGCGTACCTCACCATCCCTGCACAGAATAAGGGAACACTGAAAGGGTTAAAATCAGGAAGAGTGTACATCAGGGTTGTATCTTTTCACCATACTTATTCAATCTGTATGCTGAGCAAATAATCCAAGAAGCTAGAGTATATGAAGAACAACATGGACTCAGGATTGGACGAAGAATCATTAACAACCTGCGATATGCAGATGACACAACCTTGTTTGCTGAAAGTGAAGATGACTTGAAGTACTTACTGATACAGATCAAAGACTACAGTCTTAATTATGGATTACAACTCAACATAAAACAAAAATCCTCACAAGTTGACTTGTAAGTAACATCATGACAAACAGAAGATTGAAGTTGTCCAAGATTTAATTTTATTTGGATCCACAATTAACACTCAAGGAAGCAGCAGTCAAGAAATCAGAGGTTGTACTGCATTAGGGAAATCTACTGCAAAAGACCACTTTAAAGTGCTGAAAAGCAAAAATGTCACTTTGAAGACTAAAGTGCACCTAACCCAAGCCATAGCATTTTCATTCACCTCATATGTATGTGAAAGTTGAACAATGAATTAGGAAGACTGAAGAATTGATGTCTTTGATTTGTGGTGTTGGTGAAGAATATTGAAAATACCATGGACAGCCAGAAGAATGAAAAAATCCTGGAAGAAGTAAAGCCAGAATGCTCTTTAGAAGCAAGAATGGCCAGACTTTGTCTCATTTATTTCAGTCATCTTGTCAAATGGGGCCATTTCCCAGAGAAAGATGTCATGCTTGATAAAGTGGAAAAGAGAAAAAGGGGAAGACCCGTAGGAGACGGATTGACATAGTCGCTGCAAAAATGGGCTCAAGCATAACAAGGATTGTGAGGATGAAGCAGGAGAAGGCAGTGTTTTGTTATGTTGTATACAGGGGTGCAATGAGTCAGATTGGCTCAATGGCACCTACCAATAATAATCTACATGCAGTCATTTAAAAAATATTTATTAAAAATGGGTGTCCCTGTTTCTTGAATCAAACTCTGTTTCAGCAAGTTCAAAAACTCATCCACAGACTGAAGGCAGTGTCAGGGCCCAAGGGTCTCTGAACAACATCTCTTTGTCCAGGTTTCCAGCATCCCAGAAGGCTCTTCCCCCACAGCCTGCCCCCTGGTTCTCATTCAATACCCTTTTATCTGGTTGGTGCTGATACAGAATTTGATCTGAGTAACCTGATCACAAAATCCAAGTCCCTGAAAGAGGCATCCATTTGGTGATAACCAAAGCATGTTCGGCATGAACTCCTTTGGATCTGCATTCAGGGCTCAGTTAAGGGCATCACCCAGAAAAATGGCCTCTGTAATCTATGGCTTTGCCTCATGCTTGATGTAAAACTGTTGTTTATATTTTAAACTGAACTTTTCTTCAGATCATATCTACTGACATCCAAAGATTAGATATTACTCTTTGTATGAATATGTGTCTCACATGTGCCAAAACAGAATGATTCAAACAGCAAGTACCATGTCTGTCGTCTCACCTATTGCCAGATAAATTCACTCAACTGGTAACTTTTCCTATATGGATTTCTGAAAGTTCTACCTTCTCCACAAGATTGAAACCAGTTGCCTTCTAGTCAACTCTGTCAGAGTGTAACTATGCATTACAGGGTTTTAAACCCTGATGCCTCCAGATAGACTCAAATCTTCAACCTTTCAGTTAGCTGAGCAGGTTAACCATTTACCCCACCCAGGTCCTCCAAACAGAAGGCTGCTTAAGTTCATACTCCTTTTGCCCTGAAAAATCTCTTAAATAAATTCAAAATTCTAGGCAATAATTTTAAGACACATGGCCCAGATATTTGTACATAAATCAATTCCCTTGTCACCCTGCTGCTGTGACTTTACACAGTACAGAATTCATAATTAAGCCATCTTCAAGGCCTCAGAAAGATAGTGGATGGTGGGGGGGAGGCCACAGCTGTCAGACTGCTACATGTGGACTCTTTTGGTCGTAGTTGTGCTTAGATTAATCTCTTCCTCAGACACCATGCTTCTCAGTCCTTCTCCCCACAGATACTGCTTTTGCTCACTCACACAAAGAACACTGGAAAGCTTACCTAGAGAAGCCCATGAAGGAGCCTGCCAGATGTCATTCAACTGCCAATAAAGTGCTCCCATGGTGTGTCCTTCTCCATTCACTATCTCACTTTGACTGCGGCGGTAGAATTCAGTTTCTATTTTGACACACTGGGCCTGCGTCACCTGATTCAGGGGAAAACATTAAAACACAAGCGGTATTGTTTGATCGAGGCTGTCTAGATGTGACGAAATTACAGGCTTGAGTTTTTTTAAGCAAATTACATAAATTAGGGAATTTGATTAGCATTAAGAAATCCATTATTATACTAGATCTAGAATTGACACCTCAGCATGAGAGAAGCGATTTGTTGAAAGGGAAGGTTGGTTGGTTTATTTACTACAACAGTGAGTGAAAAGGGAATATTATTGTTGTTGTTAGTTGCTGTCGAGTCTACTCCAACTCATGGGCCCCATGTGTGCAGAGTAGAACTCCTCCACGGGGGTTCGAGTCAGTGACCTTTCCAGAGCAGATTATCAGGCTTGTCTTCTCAGGGGCCTCTGGTTCAAATCTCCAAACTTTTGGCTAGTTAGTCAAGTGTTTAACCATTTACACCACCCAGGGACTCTGATGAAAGGGAATAATCCCAAACCAAAGTCACTGCCATCAAGTGGGTTCCAACTCATAGTGACCCTATAGGGTCTCCAAGGCTGTAAATCTTTACAGAAGCAGAGCGCCTCATCTTCCCCCTGCAGAGCGGGTGGTGGGTTTAAACTGATGACCTTTTGATTAACAGCCCCTTTTAACCACAACGCCACCAGAACTCAGATGATGGAAAAGAATACCCACAACTCAAACCAACTGCATTGAGTAGATTCTGACTCATAGTGACCCCATAGGGTAGAGTAGAACTGCCTTATAGGGTTTCCAGGACTGTAAATCTTTACAGAAGCTGACTGCCTCATTTTTCTCTCACAGAGCAGCTGGTGGGTTCGAAACATCATACTTTTGGTTAGCAGTTGAATACTTTAACCACCAGAGCTCCATGAAAGGGAATACCAAAACCAAAAACTAAATCCACTGCCATCAAGTCAATTCTGACTCATAATGACGCCCACTGGGTTTCCAAGGTGGTAAATCTTTACGGAAGTAGATTGCCCTGCCTTCCTTCCATGAAGTTGCTAGTGGATTTGAACCTCCAACCTTCTGGTTAACAGTCAAATGCCTTAGGCATTGCACCACCAAAGCTCCTTGTGAAGGGGAATAGGAGAGTGTAAAAAGGGTTTTGCTACTAATAGTGTTGGTAATGAAGGAAAACAAGGACTATTACTCCAAAGCAAATGGTACATGTAGTTAAACACTAGGTCTTTTTCAATTATGAGTTTTGCTAATATACTCACAGGCTAAAACACAAATAAACAACTTTTATTGGAGAAAACAAAATGATTATGAGTGTGATATTGTCCAGCCCCTAACTTCTCTTATCTAGTGAAACAACTGCTTTTATATCATGACTTCTGATAATGTAACCTTACTTCTGAATGAATGCAACACCATTACAGCAAAACAGAAGATAAACTACAGCAATGAGACAAAAAGTAAATTTAATTCTTGTCTAAGAGGCTGTTATGTACTGAATTGTGTTCCCCAAAAATATGTGCTGTAATTCCTAACCACTATGCCTGTGGTTCTAAGGAGTTCTGGTGATGTAGTGGTTAAAGCACTTGGTTGCTCACCAAAAGATTTGTGAAACCACCAGCTGCTCTACTGGAGAAAGATAAGGCAATCTGGGACCATAAAGATTTAAAGCCTTGGAAATCCTATGGGGCAGTTCTACTCTGTCCTAAGGGGTCAGTATAAGTCCAAATCAACTTGATGACAGTGGGTTTTCTCTCTCTCTCTTTTTTTTTTTTTTTTTAGTAAGCTTTTGTTCTAATCCCATTTGGGAATGGGTTATCTTTGTTATGTTAATTAGACAGGATTAGCGTGTAGGGTGTAAGAATTTCATTTTTTGATAGTTGAGTTTAATTTGGGAGGTTTGGTGGTATGGTGCCTAAGGTATTTAACTGCTAACCACAAGGCCAGAGGTTCAAACCCATCAGCCACTCCTTGGAAGGAAGACTGGGCAATCTACTTCTGTAGTGATACTGCCTTGGAAACCCAAGGAGGGGTCAGTATCAGTTGGATCCAACTCAACGACAATGAATTTGTTTTGTTTTTAGTTTGATTATGATTTGGGTAAACTTTTACAAAGCAAATTCATTTTATACTCAACAGCTCATACACATTTTTTTGTGTGTGTGTGACATTGAATATATTCCTTGAACTCCTCTCCTCCCACTTCCTCCCTGTGGTTACCCTCCTCCTGGGTCCTCCTTGCCTATGCATTCCTGTCTCCCTACCTTTCTCCCTGTGTAAATGCTACCCTTCTGATATCCCACGGTTGATTGTTCTAAGGAGTGCATCTCCCTGGTATAATTTTTGGCTCAGAGGCCTGTCTATTGTTTGGCGTTAAGTCACAGAAGTGAGTTTAAATCCAGTCCCAAAGGGTGAGTCAGGACCATAATCTTGGAGGTTCTACCAGTCTCCATCAGCCCAGTAAACCTGGTCTTTTTTTTTTTTTTTTAAATCTTGTTCCACATTTTTTCTCCCACTCTATCCAGGATCTCCAATTTTGATCCCTTTCTGAGTGGTTGGCATTGGTAGCCAGGCATCATCTAGTTCTTCTGTTTTCAGTCATATACACTGAGGTTCTCTTGGTCCATTAGTCCTTTGGGCTGTTTCCAACAGTCAATCTCTTTTGAGATATAAAAGATATTAAACAAGCAAGCAAAAGAAGCAGAGATGGGGTAAAATAGATGCTAAGACACAAGGAGAGCTCCAAGAAATCAGGAAGCAGAAGCTGAAGAGACAAGGGCCTTCCCTCTGGAGCCAACAGAGAGAGAGAGCCTTACCCTAGAGCCTGGTGCTCTGAATTCAAATGTCTAGCCTCCTAAACTGTGAGAAGATAAATTTCTGTTTGTCAAAATCATCCACTTGTGGTATTTCTGTTACAGCAGCACTAGAGACCTAAGAAAAACGCACTAAAGAATTTCATAAAGTACCCTCATTTACCGTCATGATCATTGAAAAATCAGTGCCTTTTAAAAACCAGACAGGAGTGCATAGTTAAGAAGGGCACAGGGAGGGTGTAGTCAGAATTTGCTGCCACAATATTGAGATTTGTGAAATAACTCAACAAACATTTGAATACTTGCTCAGGAGAGTTTAATTTATCTGTGCCTAGCTATCCAAGTCTAGAAATAGATAAATGGCTTTTTTCTTCGCATCTGACAGGGATGCGAGGGGAAGAGAGTTTATTATGGTTGGGGATGGTTAAAAGAAAGAAAGAAAAGGAAAAATCAGTGCCTTTCATTATTATTTAAAGCAATTATAATACTTCAGGAGCCTGAGTAGCACAAGCAGTTTGCGATCAGCTGCTAACCTAAGGGTTAGCAGTTTGCAACCACTTAGTGGCTTCAGGGAAGAAAAGCCTGGCAAATTGCTTCAGTAAAGATTACAGTCAATGGAAACCCCATGAAGCAATGTTACCTTATCTGTAACACATGGGGTTGCCATGAGTCGGGGGCTAACTCAACAGCAGCTAACAACAAATAATAATATTCCAGGTAGGAGAAGATGTTAACTGTGAGCAGATAAAAAGGTGCCCTTCCCATCCAGGAACTGAGTAACTGGGAGCACAGCAACTATCTCTGGAAAGTCTCAAAAGAAAGTCAGAATCTCATAAACAAAGCAGCCCTAGTGGCAATTCAAAACAACCACGGGATACAGCCGAAATATATTGGCATAAACCCAAAGCTAGAGGGAATAAACTAGAAAAATAACAACTAAGGACGTTCAGCTATGTTGGCCAAGCTACAATTATTCTCAACGTCTCTAACCAATTTCCTGGTAAAAATGCCAATCCTGCTTGAACACAACTAAAGAAGAAAAAAGCCATTTATCTATTTCTAGACTTGGATAGCTAGGCACAGATAAATTAAACTCTCCTGAGCAAGTATTCAAATGTTTGTTGAGTTATTTCACAAATCTCAATATTGTGGCAGCAAATTCTGAAAAGCTCAGAGAAGAAGTGACAGTTAAGCAAAACCTCAGTAGAGACAGATCTGGGAGCAGTGATGATTATAGGTCCATGCCCACTAGAGGCTCTATGCCACATCAGCATGTATTTATTTCAGAGATTTGGTAATATCCAAACCCACTTAAATGCTATTAAACCCTGAACCTCAAATAATGCCCCCCTATCAGCATAGCCACCATGCTTGTGTTAGTGGAGGCTTGCATGTTGCTGTGATGCTGACAGGTTCCAGTAGAGCTTCTAGATGAAGATGGACTAGGAAGAAAAGCCTAGCAATGTATTTCTGAAAAATCAGCCAATGAAACCCTTCTCACAACAGTATGATCCACAATTGATCATGGGGATGGTGGAAGGCTGGGCAGTGTTTCACTCCCTTGTGCACGAGATCACCAGGAGTTGGGGGCTGACTCGATGGCAGCTAGCAAAAACAACCAATCAAGCTAAAGTTGATCTATGGGTACAAAATCAAACCAGCCACAGGCTCCATCACTGCAACACACACATCTAAGGCCCTGGACAATAACAAATTTCTCCTCTTACTCCAAGATCCCTAAGAAGATAGACATTGCTCTATGGACTATGTGTGAATGGATCTCTGAAGGGGAAGTGGAGGAAGCCCACATCATACCAATGAGTAGCAACAGGCAGAAGCAGAAATTCCAGTAATCACTCATTTCAGAGGCTGGAGGTCCAGTCCTTCAGCCTTGACAGGCTCAGCACAGATCATGAATGGCAATCACCACTGGATCCACAGTTGGGCAACTCCCCAGACCTGAAGTATACCCAAAGTCTCAGTCAGTCCTGGTATACCAGAGGCCAAGAAGACCTGCAACACCCTGACACCCTTACCCCTTTTGGAGTTGGTTCAGCCCTCAATTCATCAGTGGTGTGAAAAAAAAGGAGTCATCTAAGGAATCTGGAGTTACTTTTCTTGAGTACAGATTCATGAAGTAGGGCAAATAGGAAAAAAGTAAAAGTAAAATAAATAAATAGAATTCTGAGATGGAAGCAAAACATCCATGTTTACCAGAGTAAGTGATTAAGTCC